AAAAAAAAAAAAAAACTCCCAACCAAAAAAAGCCCTGGCCCAGATGGCTTCATTGGAGAATGCTACCAAACGTTTAGAGAAGAGCTTACACCAGTACTATTTAAACTATTTCAGAACATAGAAAAGGAAGCGATACTTCTGAATTCATTCTATGAAGCCAGCATAACCCTGATACCAAAACCAGGCAAAGACACCACAAAAAAAAAGAAAAACTACAGACCAATATATCTTATGAATATAGATGCAAAACTTCTCAACAAAATTCTAGCCAATAGAATTCAACATCATATCAAAAAAATAATACACCATGGCCAAGAACGATTCATACCAGGTATGCAAGGATGGTTCAACATTAGAAAAGCAATTGATGTAATAAACCACATAAATAAAAGGAAAGAATCACATGATCATCTCAATTGATGCAGAAAAGGTATTCAGCAAAGTCCAACATCCATTCCTGATTAAAACTCTCAATAAAATAGGTATAGAAGGGAAATTTCTCAGCATAACAAAGGTCATTTATGCAAAACCAACAGCCAACATCATTCTTAATGGAGAGAGGCTGAAAACATTCCCCTTGAGAACAGGAACAAGACAAGGATCCCCTTTATCACCACTCCATTTAACATTATGCTGGAAGTCCTAGCTAGAGCAATATGGCAAGAAAAAGAAATAAAGGGCATCCAAGTTGGTAAAGAAGAAGATAAACTGTCCCTATTTGTAGATGATATGATACTGTACATAGAAAACCCAAGGACTCCACGAGAAAACTACTGGAACTAATAGAAAGATTCAGCAGAGTAGCAGGATACAAGATAAACATATAAAAATCAGTTGGATTCCTATATACCAATAAAGACAATGATGAAAAGGAAATCATGAAAGCAATACCATTTATAATAACCCCTAAAAAAACAAAATACTTAGGAAGAAATCTAACCAGGGATCTAAAAGACCTATACAAGGAAAACTACAAAACACCACTGTAAGAAACCAAAAGAGATCTAATAAATGGAAAAACATACCATGTTCATGGATAGGTAGACTCAACACTGTGAAAATGACCATTCTAACCCAAAGCAATTTACAAATACAATGCAATCCAGATCCAAATACCAACAACATTCTTTAAAGAGATGGAAAAACTAATCATTAACTTTATATGGAAAAGGAAGAAGCCCTGGATAAGTAAAACACTACTGAAGAAGAAGAATAAAGTAGGAGGACACACACTACCTGACCTCAGAACCTACTATACATCTACGGTAGTCAGAACAGCCTGGTACTGGTACGACAAACAAATTGACCAATGGAACAGAATTGAGAACCCAGATGTAAATCCATCCACCTTTGGTCACCTGCTCTTCGACAAGGGCCCAAAGTCCATCAAATGGGGAAAAGACAGTCTTTTTAACAAATGGTGCTGGCAAAACTGGATGTCCATC